GGATATAAATCCTTCAGTTGCAATAACTCCAACACGGCGGCACTTAAGGCGTCGGCTGCGGGAGCGCATCGTAACGGTCTGACTTGTTTTGGTCCAACACCAAGAGAAATGAGCGACACTTTGTCTAAATATCTAGGCACGTTTTGTCCTTATGTGTGTCATTCTGACCCAGTTTGGCCTGGCGGATCAGTTCCACGTACGCCCATTTATTTTATCATAATTAAAAAACTGTCATTATTTGACCTAGAATTTTTCTATATAAATGAGATTATTAGAACAACTTGAACCTATAATTTTTGTGAGTGAACGCACAGGCTGACATCTGCTTGCGCTTTACTTTTTACAGGAGCAATCGGAGGCTGAGGATTTCTTACTGCCGGCATCAGAGAAATCTCTTGATGAAAATGAAATTTAATTAGACGTGAATGATGATCATGTGTTTGATGTTACAGAGTCTCCACTTCCGTATCTGATAAATTTGAGTAAAGCAGAAAATGTTATCGGTGTATTGGAAATTTTATTGCGAGTTACTGAACTTTTATTAATTATTAACTGAACTTAACGATGATCTGAGCGTTGAAAATGAAACTTGAGTTGGAGGTGCATTGATACTGCGCATGCACGGCAGCAAACGGCGAGCGAGTAGAATAGTGTGCTCATAAAAATATGTGCTCGGAAAGTGTGAGCTACCCTAGNGGCGGTGAGACGAGGCGGTGAGACGAGGCGGTGAGACGAGGCGGTGAGACGAGGCGGTGAGACGAGGCGGTGAGACGAGGCGGTGAGACGAGGCGGTGAGACGAGGCGGTGAGATGAGGCGGTGAGACGCTTCTAGTCTCGACCTCCTTCGCGCGATGGACGGAAGAAAGCAAAATGTTTTGCGTATGTTGCCGGCTGACATACTTCGAGACAAAGAACTGATCCGACTTTGTATACATTTTATTTTATTCAGATTTAGTCCATCGGCTAACTAGAGAGATTCGCTCAGCGATAAATCAATGCTCGAAATATAAGGTGTATATATATCGGTGGTGACAGAGAAATATTTTATTGGTACCCGCTCGGATAAATTGAGTTTAAAGAAACATCGAGTTAGTTACTCGATCCTTGACTGCGCAGAGAGGTACGGGCGACATAAGGAGTGAGATGCCACCAGGAAACTAACAGCGATGGATCATTACTCTATCTTTTGACAATATCGATTTCTACTTCATTGAACGTTTTATCAAATTATTCTGTGGATTACTCTGGCATATTGCCTGGCTATATGCTGGAAATGAAAGTGATTTTGCGATGGCGCATTTTTAAACAATACATATTATTCGGTTGTGTTCAGTGCTTTGTCGTCTTCGAGGGTGGTGCTTTCAGCATGGCCTTTTTGTCGGTGTCCTTAAAGAAATTCTGGGTACGTATTTCTTAAGGTCTATATTCTATAATGTCTGTGACTATTTTCATATTTATGTACCGTGTTACTAATTACATCGTTTTGAAATTTTTATCTATTATTATATTTAACACTGTGTAAATAATAACATTCATATGTCGATTGATGACACGACGTGAATTATCTGCAAAGGTCCCGGTTATTTCCTGCGCAAATAAATGAACAAAAACTTCTCAGCCTCACGCTAATGCGTCGTGTATAGGCATTATTAAGTTTCTAACGCAGATACTGATTAAGTTTCTCATCGCATATTAAAGAAGATCATCCTGCCTAAAGGTGCTTATAATCAGTAGTTAATGGGTCATATTAAAGAAGATCATCCTGCCTAAAGGTGCTCATAATCAGTAGTTAATGGGTCATATTTAAGAAGATCATCCTGCCTAAAGGTGCTCATAATCAGTAGTTAATGGGTCATATTAAAGAAGATCATCCTGCCTAAAGGTGCTTATAATCAGTAGTTAATGGGTCATGAGTTAGACATCATCTCCCATGTTCATCTGACGACCTGCAAGCAAAAGTTTCACCGCATCCTGCAGCTGCCGTGAACGCTCCAGCCTCGTGAAAGTTTGAGCTTACGGCTGCGGTCAGGATCTGGGTTAAAGCTGCTACACGCTACACGCTCAGCGTTATTGCTGCTATACGCTACACGCTCTGTTATTGCTGCTACGCGCTCAGCGTTATTGCTGCTACACGCTACACGCTCTGTTATTGCTGCTACACGCTCAGCGTTATTGCTGCTACACGCTACACGCTCTGTTATTGCTGCTACGCGCTCAGCGTTATTGCTGCTACACGCTACACGCTCTGTTATTGCTGCTACGCGCTCAGCGTTATTGCTGCTACACGCTACACGCTCAGCGTTATTGCTGCTACACGCTACACGCTCAGCGTTATTGCTGCTACACGCTACATGCTCAGCGTTATTGCTGTCTCTTATACACATCTAGATGTGTATAAGAGACAGGCGTTATTGCTGCTACACGCTCTGTGTTATTGCTGCTACACGCTACACGCTCTGTGTTATTGCTGCTACACGCTACACGCTCTGTGTTATTGCTGCTACACGCTACACGCTCAGCGTTATTGCTGTGATGGCGTGTAGTGAATAATTGATCTACACGCTCAGCGTTATTGTTGTGGTGGTGCGTAGTGAATAATTGATTTACACGCTCAGCGTTATTGCTGTGATGGCGTGTAGTGAATAACTGATCTACACGCTCAGCGTTATTGCTGTGATGGCGTGTAGTGAATAATTGATCTACACGCTCAGCGTTATTGCTGTGATGGCGTGTAGGGGAATAGATTTTGCAATAGATTTTATGATGTAAGATGAATGCAATTTACTCTAACACGTTTATTAATTGAGTTTTTTAAGCAAGATAATTGATGTCTGTCTTTTGTGAAGGGCAGAAGCATCAATCTGTTGGAAGTATATCTAAAATTCTTAAGTTTTTATTCTCGAAGTTTTTTATAACGTTTTATGCATTTGAGTTTCATAATATCGCTAATTGGTTTGAGTAGAAAGTGCAATTCGCTGCATATTGGATATTCTTTACTAACATCTAAAAATGTTGAAATCGAACTTGACTTGTATACAAATTAATGATCTCGGAACAAATTAAAATGTCCAGAATTTAGTATCCTGGCGAAAGCTCTGCCGTCCCCGTTATTTTATTTCAAAACTTTATTCATCCAAGTCATCTAGTGCCTTGGATGTCATGAAACAAATTTATGATTAAATTAAACATCATAATCATTATTTTCCATTTATATATTTTTGCTGCTCCCTCTCATGTCTGCTCACACGTGCTGTTCCCTTGGATTATTTGCAGGGAGAGAGCGAATAAAGAAAGATCCGTCATAGGAAGAGCACGAAAGATAATTGTTCATCATGTCGGAAAAAGAGCACGCTCAGAGATGTCTAGCAAGGAAAGAACTGTACGGTTTTAGCAGGTATTGAATGAAAGATCGAGGAATGATCCGTCTGATGACGATGACGAATCTAAGATCTAGCAGGAAAGATCCCTCCAAATCAAGCTCACATTGGGAGATAGAGCAGGAAAACGCAAAACTAAAGCGCACTGAGATCAGGAAAGATCAGCAACGGAGCAAAGCGCTCATTGTAAGATGGACCAGGAAAGATCCGTTTGAGCAAGAGCACCTTTTAGCATCTCTCTATTGCGACGACTGCTGATAAATTAAAAATGTCGATTCCACTCCGAAACTTTGATTGCTTGCGTACTCGAGCAAGAATGTGGTTTCGAGTTTGAATGGAAACTTTATTCTGTTTATATTGTTCTTATATATTCGCAACATATATATATATATGTTTATATTGTTCTGTTCATTATATTCGCCGATGTCAGCGAATATAATGAACAATCGCTCACGTAACCATGCAAGGGCCTGTTAACGCAAACTATTAGACTCAAGTGCATTTAGATGCAATGTAAACACCCAAAATTAGGCGAATTATCAATGATTAATTTTTGTGTGCGCTAATTTCAATAATGTGATGATTTTGTTTGATGCAATGAACATGCAATGTTACGTGGTTACTGTAGAGCTGCCGCCATTGCACGCCCTGATATTGACATGACGGAAGCATTTCAGTGGGCACATTGGATAAGACCTGGAGAACTGTCTTATCCAACTCCAGGTTGGAGTTCAGGTCCAAGTCCAGGTTGGATAAGAACGTGCCTGGAGAACTCCAGGCACGAAGGATAAGTGACTCAGCGACTGCTGTGCGTGATTGTGGTCGCGCGGAACGAAATTTTGTCGCGCGTTCATTAATTGCAGTTGCAGGTTAGCGTTACAGCGTTACAGCGTTACTGGTCATGCATGCGTGGCGTCGTGGCAGGTCCTAATTGCAGGTGCTTGGTCACGGTTATGGGCAGTTGTGCCCATTGGTAAATAATGTGTGATTAATGACTGCATTACAGGGACACCATTGCACGCACTGCGTATACTGGCTGTATGCACTGCGCGTGTGCAGGCCGTATGCTCTGCGTGTACAGGCTGTACGATGAGCATGTACCGCTTATATTCACGATGATGTTAATATGCATCGCTGCCAGATTGTGATCACATGCATGCATCACCAGCTCCTCAAATGCTGCAGCTGATTACGGTGCATCAGGTCTGCTATAAAACAATCAGAGCACAGCAACGTGTTACCAGTGAGAAATTCTATACCTTGTCACGCATTCCCACATCATTCATTTGCGTCACTTCACTCACTCAGTATTCAGCTCTTCATTCTTCACTTATTCCTAACTCACCTTTTAACGCTCGTCGTTCCCGCTTCATTCATTGTAATTTCATACTTCATTCATGCCCAGAATTTCACTCGCGTGCAAGGAATCAACATTCACCCCTACAAACCATGCAGAATTAATTAACTTTACAACGAATCTGCAAGGTTGGTAGATATTAGACTTGATGTAGCTCACACATGTTATAGTTTATATAATGCTGTCCATTTACCATCTCTTCGTTTCTAATTGTTATTCTCATGCATAAAAAATGTAATTCTAAAACTATTTTTCTTTTGTTGCAGGTCACGTGCTATGAAATCTGTGGAAACTCCATTTATATCATTCACAAGACTGTCTCGGTCGTCGACGTTGCTCGCTCATAACCGCACTGGGTTGCGAAAACTACACCCATCTTATCCGGACAAAAATATCTGCAGGCTACAGGAGTCTCCGTGCTTTACAAGCTCCCGGATAAAATCGGCCAGGGGATGCCCTAAGAAAATGACGATAAATTCATGCGATATGGAGTTGCTCGAGGGAGTCACGCACGAGCAGCGGGCGCAGTGCTCCACGATGTCGAGCAAAGTTTGTCAGGAAACCATGACAAAATTTTGTCAGAGGACAAAGCCCAAAATTTTCCGGAGGACGAAGACAGAAGGGTTGGCCTTCCTGTCGGTGGCTCTGCTGATGGCGCTGATGATGTCATTGGGATTGTCGTCAGCGCAGGAGGATGCAGGTAACGTGCTTTATTATTGTTCGCAGTTTACTTATTAAATAAAGAGCATAGCTATATTGATTTAAACTGGAACTACTGTCATTATGGCCATTAATGGTTTAATTATTAAATAAAATCATCATTGAATTAATTATAATATGTAAACTTATATTAACTATCGTCATGGATGCATGACCTGGTTCTAAAGCAAACCGGCTGGATGAGTGTGTTCGATAAAAATTGGTGCTGATGATGTCGATGAACTTAATCAAGTTATGAGTTAATCAAGTTTTTAATGATGGTTAACCATCATTATAATGTATGTTCATAATCCTGAGCCAAGGATTACCGATGAGGACGTATATCGAAGATTGAATACCGATTTTTAATAAGACATAATCGAAGTACCTCGGTGCTAAAAGGCACCTCCTGTGAAATGATAAAAAAGTTTTTTATGTTTTGCCTTGATAAACACTTTATAAATCAAACACTGGAGCACCAAATTAATAATTTACTTTCTGTGACAAGAAGCAGAATTTTATAATTACTGCTATAGTAAAAAGGTTATGAGAAAACTTCATTGTCTCGTCCGTAACAAATTTGTTATTTGAATCGCATGCACCTTCAAATGGAAGACGTACGCATCGTGAGAACTTCTTTATTGTTGTTCATGAACTGACAGTTTCCACGGTGAGTTTGGCCTACAAAGATTCATTGCAACATTTCTGAAAGGCGTTGAGCTGGCAGCGTCAAGTCTTTTACTCAGCTTTCATCCAACGTCTGGAAAGTCCAGAGGCCGTGGGAGGCAGAGGTCCAGGCGGCTGGCTCTAAAATTAACAAATCAAAAAGCTCGTGTTTCACATAAAAAAGTAGACTTTTATTGCTATAGCACCAAATTAAAAACCGTAGCTGGACATTTTAATTAACATATTTTGTGGCATTTGTAAAGGTTTTTCGAACAATCAGTGGCGCTCACTCAGTAGCAACATTGGTTCATTTGAAATGTTCTAAAATTCTAACCATTATATGGCATTTGAAGTTTTTCGCTTATGTTAGCCTGAACTAATTAAATTCTGTGGATAATAGCGATTACCAACGAACAACGCAGCAGAAACCTTACATTTTTTCAAAATAAAACGGATTTTTGTTCGTTGTGTACAAAATGGATCAAATTCTGGATGGCTCGTATTTTTGAAAGATATTTTCGCACAATTAGCTGTCATGAAGAGAACAAAAGGCATCGCGCAAAATGTGCAATATAAATTTGAATTTAATTTTGCGTGTTCAATTTGTATAAGAGATATTTGAAATAATAGAAATAATTTTTAGAATATTAGAAATAATATTTAAAAACATTATTATTTACTGTCCCTGTCATAACTAGGTTGACCAATTAATGAATACAATCCTGCAAACTGCCTTAAGTTCTGCCATTTATAGTGTTTTTCTTTAATTTTTTCATTATGTCAATAAATATATGACCTACTTAAAACTATGACACCTTGAATTTAACTATTAATAATATCTTTTAAATAATTTTCTTCTTCTTAAATAAATAATTATTAGTCTTGAATTCTTCAAATCTGCGTAAAATCGCACCATCCATAATGTAACTTGAGAAATTCTAGAATTAATTAACAAGAAAATTAGATATCTGGTACACAGACTGCTTTTAATTCAGTCATTGATACCAGTGTTAACACTTAACAATTCTCTTCGTTTATTAACAAATAAATTAAGCCATAAGCTCGAAGCCCGCTTTGAATAGGGTCTATACTCATTTATAATGAGCCTTAAATTTATCATCTTAATATATTACCAAATATATTAAATATTTTGTACGAGCCTTACCTTGAATCATACTATGTATAATGTTATAAAATAATCTTAACATATAAACAAGTAATTTAATACGCCGTTTGCTTCGAATTATGTCAATCATAATATCCATTAAATAATTCTCGTAGCCTGTAAACAAATAATTCGATAAATAATACGTAATTATACCACGGAATCGTACGATTTATAATGTTATAAAATCATCTTAGCGTATAAACAACTAATTTAAGAATTTAATACGCCGTTCGCATGGAATTGTATTATTCATAATATAAATTAAACAATTCTCGTAACTATTAAACAAATAAGTTGAGAAATAATACGTAATTATACCACGGAATCGTACGATTTATAATTTCATTAAATCATCTTAACTTATAAATAACTAACTTAAGAATTTAATACGCCGTTCGCATGGAATTGTATCATCATAATATAGAATAAACAATTCTCGTAGCTATAGTAAACGTATAAGTTAAGAAATAATACGTAATTATACCACGCAATCGTACGATTTATAATGTTAGTAAATCATCTTAACTTATAAATAACTAAATTAAGAATTTAATACGCCGTTTGCTTGTAATTTCGTTATTCGTACCTATTAAACAATTCTCGTAGCTTGTAAAGAAATAAGTTAAGAAATAATACGTAATTATTCCACGGACATTTCCCATAACAATTCGAGACATCGGCTCGTTGCAGACGTGGCGGAGCTGTCAGCCGCGTCAGACTTTAACGGCGTGCAGCTGCAGTGGAGGTACCCGCGCCGGGGGCGGGGCCCCAGTCTCTTCAAGATCACCCACTGCGAGGACCAAGCTTGGGGACCTCATCGCTGCCGGAATATTGTAAGAACATTGAAGTCTCTGAGTCTTACGGCTTTGGTTGACAAATAAAGTTGGGACATTCGCGTACAACTTCGAATGAAAAAAATGATTTACGCACACAATCTCAAATTTTATTTTTATCAAAGATGTTTTGATTAATCTTTGCCCACTGTCATTATTGCAGGAATTTTTTGTGGAAATTTATCATTCAGAGGTATAAAGAACACACATTTGCACAGCCTAAAAATGGTTATGGTTATTTGTACATTATTTATAGATTTGTCAACGTGTTTGTTATTTCTTTAACTTATTATACGTGCGTAAATATTATTTTGTTTATTGTATTATATTTATGTATAAGTTTTATAGAATTTTCTATAATATTCATCTGATACAAATTATATTGCTGTTATATTATTTTTTATAGTAATGTTTTCTACAACATTCCAGATGCTAAACCCGAACGAAGTGACACAGACGCCACTTAGTGACGGATCAGTGCAATACTCGAGCAAAATATCACACCTGCGCATGGCAACGAACTACACCATCGAGGTGACACCTGTCGACCAGCACGACCAGAACCCTGAAGTTGGTGGACAGAGAGTACCGTCACCTAAAGGGCGTGCCATACCTGACGAGGGCCACCGAGCTCAAGTCTTCGTTCAGACAAAAGGATGTGAGAACTGGTGGAGAGCTGCCGTAGAGTTATATTAATTATGGAATATTGAATAGGTTTCGGAGAACTATCTTAATTAGAGAATACTGATGATTTGATGTAGAGTTATGATTAGAGAATAATAATGATTTACCGGAGAATGGAAAGGAGATTGATTCACTGTGAAATATATTTATTAAACTAATTCCATTGAATGAATTTAACGGTAAACTTCATGCTAGTAATCTGTCGGCGTATAATTTTTCAGCCGAGAACTGGCCGCGATTATGCCGGATTTTTTGATTTCCTTAGAATATTCGTTAAGTTTTTGAACGTTTTCTAATGATGGCCTCTTTATGATTTAAATTTAATATATGCCAATATTAATGGTTATCATGTCTACTCAAAACTGAAAGTATTTCATGGACAGTTTCAGCTCGCGCGCTCAGCTGCCTCACCAACTCCACGCAGATCCAAGTTGAGACTGGACCTCATTTCGGCGGCAAGGTGCGTGGCGGCGCTGTTAAGTTAGGCTAGTTGTACGCGGTGCAGTTAAGTTAGGCTAGTTGTGCGCGGTGCAGTTAAGTTAGGCTAGTTGNTCCCCTAGGTTGCCCTGGATATAACTGTTAGAAATAAGTTTCCTAGTGATTATATTATAGTTTTATAAGCATAGTTTACATTATATTATAAATATAATATATAAAAATAATATCTATTATTGTATAAATTACGATATATTATGTTTTATATATTCATTAATCTAGAACTATTCATGTACGAGCTGTTCGATTGTTCTTTCAATAGAAATTATTCAATCTGAATTTCAAACCATTTGTCCACCTCTTCCGCTTCCTAGTTATTATGCGTGCATTTACCAGCAATATGCTGCAGTAATGCCCAAGCAATCTTAATGAACTTTAGCGGGAGTATGAGATAGCAGTCTTTATTATTCGCAAATCTTATAAAACTAGTATCATCAGCGTATTGAAAAAATCATTATTATCAAAAGTTTTAGCTGAATTATTTTCATGCAAAATTCTTTTAATTGCAGCGTGAGTTTGCCGGAAGACCCGGTAGCGTCTAGGGTGATTACAGTTGACCAATCTTTATTAAAACATGTATTCTGTTTACAATTTTTAGTAAAATATCGTACTGTAAAATTCGGATGCTTTCAGCGTGAGTTTGCCGGAAGACCCGGAAGCGTCTAAGGTGGTTCCGGTTGACCAATCTTTATTAAAACATGTATTCTGTTTACATTTTTAATTAAAATATAGTAATCTAAAATTGGATGTTTTCAGCGTGAGTTTACCGGAAGACCCGGAAGCGTCTAAGGTGGTTCCGGTTGACCAATCCGTAAACGAGGTGGACCCGTCCGAGCTGTTCGACTCGAGCGACAACCTCGTCAACCGCCGACTGGGGGCGAGGAGGTCTGGCAAGGCACTCAAACTTGAACAGGACGCGGCACCAGAGAGTGAGTTCCATCGTGTCATGAGAGAAATTATTTCTTATATAATCAAATAACAGTAAATGTATCACCATTTGCGCAAGATAACTCATATATTTTTATGAGTGTAATGAGCATTTTGGACTGTGTTTAGGGAAGTGCGTTATCTTAAATACATTAAGGACGGTTCACTTCACTCTTTTTTGCGACACATCGACCTGACGCAAGGAATCATCGCGGATCAAGTACATGAATTACATATATTATAGATGGTTTTTGATGGGTTTCGACGGTAATATATCAATATAATTGTTCTGATTTTATTTCATTTTGTTTCAGAATCATTATTTTTTAATAACAAAACAGTTTATTAATTTTTTCAATTGCACCAGTAGTAGAAATTGAAACGCTGAAAACATGTATCTCTTCTCAACGTGTACTCTCTTTACGTGTCACATATTTGCGTATTTCCTCTTTACGTATCACATATTCGCGTATTTCCTCTTTACGTATCACATCTTTGCGTATTTCCTCTTTACGTATCACATCTAATTTGCGTATTTCCTCTTTACGTATAACATCTTTGCGTATTTCCTCTTTACGTATCACATCTTTGCGTATTTCCTCTTTACGTATCGCATCTTTGCGCATTTCCTCTTTACGCATCACATATTTGCGTATTTCCTCGTTACGTATCACATCTTTGCGTATTTCCTCGTTACGCATCACATCTTTGCGTATTTCCTCGTTACGTATCACATCTTTGCGTATTTCCTCTTTACGTATCCTTTAGTGACGTATCCCCGCTTCACGTATCCCCTCATGACGTGTCACCTCTTTACTCATCCCCTAAACTGACGTATCCTCTCTTTCCCCTCTTTACGCATCCCTTCTTTATGCATCCCCTAAAGTCTAAACTGATGTACCCCCTCCTGACGCATCAGTTTCGTTGAAATAGCGTGATTAATTTACGTACATAGTTAAATAGTTAACCTTGGCAAGCAACAAGATGGCGACACAGGCAGTGTTCCCGTGTCATGCATCTTGTTCGATATATTATAGAAAACTGTGTGTTAAATAAACCATTAACAGGCCCCAAGAAAAGACTATGGGTAAACCCTTCATGCTTTCAATATTTATTTCGGCATTGATTGAGAATAATTTAGTTCTTGTGCGGCCAGCTGGTCCAAGGATGTGGACACAGCTGGTGCTGATGCTGGTTATGGTGGTGGGGGCGGTGGTGGGACTGAGCTGCGCCTTCTGGCACTTCGGGAAGCACGCGGGCTTCACGGCCTGGAAGAAAAACGCCGGCCCTGATATCGGTGCGTGCAAGAACAACTGTTTTGTGTAACATCAACTGGTTTAATTACTAAAACAAGCTTTAAATTGAATTTAAAATTGATTTCAAATCGAGGAATTATGTTCAACATTTCATGCTTTTAGCTCATATTAACACGAATTCGATGCATTAAAATAAATAAATTTTATGCATTAAAATAGATAAATGAAACTTCTTTCCAATTTTACTATCCGTCACAATTCAATATATAACTTGTGTTTGACTCATTGAACAATGTCGGTAACATTTTGAGTGTTAAAACAATATTGAACGCAGGTTTTCATGCCAAGCGATTGAATCACGGAGTTATGCATGCAATTTTACACTCATTGAATGTAGATGGAGTTTAATTCTCTCTACCAACGTTATCTATTATGAATTATTCGTTTTCAGAGACATTATCTCCAACGACTGAGGACTTGGAGAACATAGAGCGAGCTTCAAGCGCCGAAAATTCTTCAGAAAATTCGGGGACATCGGCAGCGCCTCCTTCAAGTGGCATGCAAAACTCACCCCTAGAAGACGACGAGTTTCGTCTGGACCAACTAACCTCTGCAGACTTTACAGCCGTAAACCCAAGCATGCAGCACACCTCTACAGACTTAACAGCTGTAAACTGCAGACCGAACGCACACTCTTCTGACCCACAATCTTCACTGTTGAACTCTACGATCTCGGAGGGTGATGAATCGTTAGGATTCAACTCGTTGATGGGTAAGATCTGCGCGTCTGGCGTGGTCTCGCCCAGCGTTGACGCCATGTTGAAAAACTCGGAAAAGGTTGACGCTGAATTGCAATCCTGCGCAGAACTGCAGTGGGAGAAATTCGATGAGAATCATGGAGAAGATGAGGCCCCGATTCTCGTATGAATATCATATTTACTTTGAAAAAGTTTTATTTCTCTGTAAGGAGGATTACTAATAGTTATTTGCAATTTTATTCTTTATACGAAATAGCTGTTTGATATAATTGAGATAAGACTTTTTCCTTTCAAACATCAAAGAAAAAATAGTTCCTTTTTATAATATATTATTTTAATTACCGCCTTGCAGTTGAAAGCACATGTTATCCGTTCATGGGAAATTTATTTCGAAATGTAAAAAAAAATGTGGAACTGGAAGCTTACGTAACGTTACGATATTCGTTATTTCTTGATAACAATGATTGCAATTTCTGGTTTCAGGCCTAAATTAACAAGAGAAATGTTTTTTTTAAACTCTTGGTATGGAAATTGTGACCGCAATCAATTAATTATCAACGTAACTTCAACTAGAGCGCTTGAATTAAAAAAAATTGTCTTGGTTTATCATGAAGCTTTTATACCAGGCGACTATTTTAGGCAGGAATGTGGGAGAGGCATGGCAAGGGATATGATCCGTTATTTTACGTTAAAATCTAAATCAATTGAATTAGTTTTTCAATTTTCTAATGAGGTACCTACGTCTTTAGACAGTAATAAAGATCTTCATAGAATTCTAGTATTTGGCATTCCTAATATTATTTAATATTAGTTAATATCATTCGCCTTACATTTCCATCGTTATAATTTTAATTTAGGAATTCTTGATCTAAACACTGTACCGAAACTTATATTAATAGATATTTCCTGCCTATATGTTATTCAATAATTCAATAATTATTAAACTGCTTATATAATTGTTCTATTACCAAATGTTGTTTTGGAATTATTTTTACTTCTTTGTTTTGTATCTGGAAAACAGTTCGGAAACGAATTTTCCACGTAAACTTTTTGATTGGAGTTATTTATGTGTTTGCTGAACTATTTGTGTCACACATGTAATTCGCCATGCTTTAATACTCTATTTTTTCCATGTCAAGTTTAATAAATATACTATAATACTTTTCACAAACTTCATTTATCTTTATCCTTTACATGAGCTGGAGATTTATTTGTTTAAATGGACATTATGACCATCATTATGATTTGATTTTTTATGATTTTACTATTTTGATTATAATATCGTTATTCAAGTGAGAGTCACCTTAAAAGGGGGGGGGCAACAGTCTTCTCGCCCCAACATCCCCCAGATTATCAGTGAGGATTATAAAGGGAATAAAGGATTCCAATAGAGGCTCCACGCAAAATTTTATGGAAGACTTTTTTCAAATAGGATATTAAAATTGCAAAAATGTTCGTGACGAACTAGCCTGAGACATTTGGATGACTAGTCGTGTCAAAATAGTATGTTTGGTCCCTAGCCACGCCTACGAATGACCGGAAACTGTAAGATGGTTTCCTATCAACTATTGAGCTACGCTTTAGGTTGGACTAAATTTGAATGCAAATGATAAAGCTAAATTTGTTATGTCTTAAGATAAACAACAAAAGGTAAATGACAAATACGCCGCACTAGTGAAAAAAATAGTTAACAATCAGACGCGACAAAAGAGAATAACAATCAATTGACAATATGACGCAAATAGAGAACTATTAACACATCGGATGCGCAAGGAGAAAGCTATACTAATGGACAACAAATCGCATAAGTAAGAAAATGAATGACAATAACTTGGACGCTCACTGTATTAACAACTGTGATTATTAACACTGAATTAGCTACACTGCATTAACAACTGTGATTATTAACACTGAATTAGCTTCACTGTATTAACAACTGTGATTATTAACACTGAATTAGCTACCCTGCATTAACAACTGTGAAGCATTGAAGTAGCTTCACAGTTGAAAAGCTGGAGGAGTGGCAGGCTGAACTATTGAATATAATTGTTGATGCTCAGTCAACCAATTACATTGATGAGAGCAAGACGTGCCTCTAAAACAAGTAGGTTTTAATTAAAGTATTGATGTTCACTCGAGTTCGTCACTCATCACTGCACTCGTGTTGGCCGTGGACAGGGCAGGAATGTGCACTGAGTTATAAATGTGGATTCCCCGTACACTCAGAGAATTGTGTGGGAGGATTTCCAAATAATGGCGCTACCAAGTTTACCTCTTTATAACGGCAAGTAACGGTTTACCCAAATAACGGCAGCAACCAAGTTTACCTCTTTCGCAGGCCAGCATTGAAACATGCAGAAAATTTCAAATTTTGGAGGCCCCACAGGAAAGTAGACAATTATACTAGGATAAATTTATCGATATAGATTTTACAAAATTTTGCATGTTATTGAAATAAATCGTAGATGAGAATTTTATGAAAAAGCGGTCACTACGCTAAAAGAAATAGAAATTTTTAACATTAAAGTAGCTTGATAAAATTGAATCAAATTGCAGCTTGATAGTTACCTTAATTTAATTTTCTCAAGCTAATTTAGATTAATTAAATTAATTTTGCTTCTTTCGAATGTGTGAAATACGCGGAAAGAGCGTCAATTTCATTGTCCGAATCTAAATATTCATTTAAATGCTCATTTATTAATTCCTATGCATGGCAGGGGATGAAGCTATGTATTGATGGATGGGCAGATAAATTGAGGTATTATAACGTAACCTCAAACCAGGGGACAAACCGGGTTATTTTGGAAATAGATTTCAAGTGATCAAATTTGAAAACTTACCAGATAAAGGGTTAATACGCATAAGGACGTACCAGTGTGATGTTCAGAAAGTGTGTCACTCGTTAGAAAATATGATTTAATTATTTTTATCAGTGAATATTTGTTTTGAGTTGAGTCAAATAATACGATCATTCATGGTTAGTGTAAAATTATTCAATAAGTGAGAAACCTCTGAGAAATCGTTAGGTACTTTATGCATTGTTTACGTGAATTTAGCATAATTGTTATCAAAACTTTATGATGTCTAGTTAAATTATATCTAGGATTATTGAGTATGATTTCTAGTCCTATCTTCATTGTTTCAACTGCTTGTCAAGCAGTACGAGCTCAAGACACGGGAAAATTATATACCATGCTACATTTTAGAATTTAAAGAGTTACAGGAAGCATTACTTTGTCTGCATTGAAAAAAATGAATCGAATTCGCTGTAATTGAATTCTTGCTATAATGTAATTCAATTCAATAGTACAAAATTAACGTATTTTTTACGTCTATGTTTGCCCCGGCGCGTCAGTATGGCCCTGGTCGTGGTATGGATAAGATGTGCCTTCGCGGCCCCGGGACCTGGCACGCGCTCGACTGACACGGATCTGGTGGCACTCGATCCGGGATACAGTGGCACTCGATCTGTGATTAAGTGGCACACGATCTGGGATTCGGGAGCATCACAATATCCAGTGACATAAAATCCGGGATCTGGAAGAGCACGATTTGGCGCGGCAAATCGTGGATTAAGCGGCGCACGATTTGGGATATAATTTGTGCATCATCAGCAAAGTTACTATTCCATTTAAACCAAATATTTCGCAATAAGAACATTTTGAGTATTCTCTTATCTCTATTCTTTAGAAAATATAGAAAAGGATCGGCATCGAGATATTAATTTGTGTATTAATATAAGACAATTTCTCTCCGCAATCTTTTTTTAAAACCAATTTAAATTCAGGGCAATAAAAAAAAAGACTCCCAAAATTATTTATTTTAAATTAAAATAAGTCTTGATAACATTAAGTGGAGCAATTAACAAAATCTAGTGGAGCAATTTAGTAAGGTGATCTATCAAGATTGTCAGCATTTGTAGTTCAGAATATTCTGATGTACTCTAACTATAATTAGCAGCATTAACAAGAATTAAGTGCTAAATAATAGTTGTATATAAATGATTCAACAACTTGCTCGAATATTTTGTTTAGTCTTTTAGTTTGGAGCTAAAACTTTAAATAATTTTTACATATGGTGACTCAATAATTTATATATTAAAAGTAGGCACTAATTTTGACTAGTCTATGAAATTTCGTTGTTTTCGTAGCTAGATTGTCTGTCCTTGTGGGCAGTCTGAAAAGAATGGAGTTTTCAGAAAGTTTTCCTATCACACGTAAAAGAAAATAAAATAAAACTTTTCTGGAACTGTATTCAAAAATAAATATATTCCAGCCATCCAATTATTAATTAATTGAGCAAAACCTAAATCAACTATAAACATTTGCGCTCGCTTCTTGTACGCGTAGCTACAGATCCAATTTGGGTGTTGAAGCTGAGCATTGTTTTGAGGATGATTGTTCTTCTTACATGGTGATGATTGGTCTTCAGGGTAATGATTGGTCTTCATGTAATGATTGGTCACCTCACGTGGCAGTGATTGCAATCCTTACACGTTAATGGTTACTCATCTCACACGACAACGATTGCTTTTCTCACATGACAATGATTGCTTCCAGATTGAAGTCAGAGAGTGAGTGAGAGTGATAAGCGTCAAGACGTCAAGAAATTATTATAAACGTCAAGACGTAAAGATATGATTATAAACTTCATCACGTCAAGAGATGATTATAACGTCAAGATGTCAAGAAAGGATTATAAACTGTTCTAAATCGCACCCAGATCAGCCAAATAAATAAAAACTACGATGCAAGAAAATATTTCCAGATTCTGAACATGCCTTAATATAATATTCACGTAATAAGTTAATTAGTACAGATATGGAGGGAAAAATTACTTAAATCATCATCTCGAAACTTGACAACTTTAATTGGATTAGAAATGAATTTGACTCCGCTTTTCGAACGCATACAAGGTGCAGTGATCATTCTTTCATTTAGAAATTGAATTGTATATCCTAAAGTGTTGATAAAATGCATTTGCAGTAAAAAAGTTGATATATAAACATTGTAATGGATGGAACAACGCCATCGAATTTATCTTCCCCAAATAATTCTGATGGCATGATATATGACCACCAATCACTTCCCGAGCGCGAGAACGTCACCACAGGTGCAAGAGACGAGGCGCTCGCTGCTTTCGAGATCCTGACTTTGGCTTCGATCTTCGTCGTGACGGTGCTGGGGAACACCATCGTCGTCTACATTCTCTTCCAGAAGAGGAAAAAGTTTCGAAGGATGAACTATTTTATATCTGCGTTGTGCATATCAGATCTTGTGACGGCAGCGTTTAACGTATTCCCTCAGCTGATGTGGGACATAACTTTTAGGTTCCGAGGAGGAGACTTCTTGTGTAGAAGCGTCAAGTTCGGCCAATTGGTTGGACCTTACATGAACTCCTACATCTTGGTGGTCACGGCGATCGACCGCTACCAAGTCATCTGCCAACCACTTTCCAATTGCAGGTGGACACCTGGACATTCCATACGACTGATATCCTGTGCTACGGCCATATCTCTGCTTTTCAGCATACCGCAGTTATTCAATTTTAGTTTCAGAGAAAAAAATGGTATTTACGATTGCTGGGCTGACTTCATTCCGGGATGGGGAGTCACAGCTTACGTCACGTGGTACGCAATTGCCGTTTTCTTCATCCCGTTAGTTTTACTTATATTTTTTTCAGGCTGCATTTGCTGCGCGCTTTTGAGGTACAATTTTCAAGTACCTAACCAGTCGAGCTACGTGTCACGGTCTCATTCACAGGCTGGGCAAGAGTCACCCAACAACGAAACCACATCTCGAAAATACGGCAGAACTCTAGACGACACAACGCACGGTTCGTCTTCAACTGTCAACGACGTTAATTATGGGAATGCAGTACGAATTTTATCTTATTCTTCGGCCACTAACAAGGCAAGGAACACGGTGATAGAGCACGGATGTAGGTACAGATTCCAGAAGACACCCGGAGCGAAGACAGTCATGAGCCCCATCAGCAGAGCTAAAATAAAGACAATCAAACTCACCATGATCGTGATCTTCTTCTTCATCGTCTGCTCAGCACCCTTCATCACCAGCCTCATGTGGAGCGTGTGGGATCCAAACGCGAGCAAATCACCGTTTTTTACCGGTGAGAAAATTAGTTTTAATAGGTCCAAACGATTTGTATTTCGTTCTGGTTTCAGGAACTGGTTCAAAATATAGGTTAAATTCTTATTTTGAATATTTATTTAATAATTATGTGAGCTCAGGGGATTTCAAATATCGTCCTACTGCTTTGTCTAGAAATGAATTAGTTTTCTAAAAATTGTCGAATAATGTTATCTCATAGTAGCGTTTAGTTTTCAATTAATATCCTAAATATTATTTAATTTCCATTACAGCTTCAGTAAATACCCGTAAATTTGAAGAAAAACCTGCAATTCTCAATTCACCTGCACACAGGTCCAGCTTTCACGATCCTGATGCTGCTGGCGTCTCTGAACAGCGTAGCCAACCCCTGGATTTACTTGGCGCTTCACGAGCGTTGCAGTTTCTTCAGCCACTTGACGTGTCGCCGGCGACCACGGCGACGACGACAGTCTGTCAAGAGCGCCCAGTCGAGCCTGCCAGCTCTCCCAGCGGGTGGAACATCTCCCAGCTGCTGCAACTGCGTCGCCGTCGCCACTGAGATCCAGGAGTTGCATACCATCCCTAACGTGCTCGGTCTCCCAGCGGGTGGAACATCTCCCAGCTGCTGCAACTTCGTCGCCGTCGCCACTGAGATCCAGGAGTTACATACCATCCCTAACGTGCTCGGTCTCCCAGCGGGCGGAACATCTCCCAGCTGCTGCAACTTCGTCGCGGTCGCCACTGAGATCCAGGAGTTACATACCATCCCTAACGTGCTCGGTCTCCCAGCGGGTGGAACATCTCCCAGCTGCTGCAACTCCGTCGCGGTCGCCACTGAGATCCAGGAGTTACATACCATCCCTAACGTGCTCGGTCTCCCAGCGGGTGGAACATCTCCCAGATGCTGCAACTCCGTCGCGGTCGCCACTGAGATCCAGGAGTTACATACCATCCCTAACGTGCCCGGTCTCCCAGCGGGTGGAACATCTCCCAGATGCTGCAACTCCGTCGCGGTCGCCACTGAGATCCAGGAATTGCAGAACGTCTGTCGCGGGCGATCTTCAGAAATTCCTGGAAGTTCTAATTCAAGTTAACTTTTAATACTGATCGCTGGGCGGCGAGAACTTCCTGTTAATTCTCCAGAATAAAAGGAAGTCATCCAGTAGTTCCTAATAAATTAAAAAGATTGCACGACTCTGAAATGTACGTACGTACTCAAGTTCTTAACGTCTTCAACAATTCGCTTCTTGACAATACGAAGCTACAACAACTCGTTTTTCAACATCGAACGGAAGCTTCCTGTACCGGGGAATTTCAATCACTTAGACGCGTAATATAAATAAATATGTAAGTATGTGCATATTTCTCGGAGAATTTGTGAAATTGCTGGTAGACAGAAATTGAATAAATGGTTTTTCAAAGATGTAAAGCTCATTATCTTAATTAGGTATTTTCTTCATTATGACTATAATACTTTGTAGGGTTGCAAAATATTCATTTTACAACTTTTTCTACAACTCTCTATTAACCTATAAAAAAATTGAGTACTTTCAGAATTACTCATCTAATTAATGTGTATTGGGGTACTCAAAAATTCATAGTTGTTTACCTAGCTCATGTGTGTGTTAATTCTACGTCTTGATGAGCCTGCGTGTTGAAAACGGGCTAAAACGAGTGAAAAATTGAAGGTTAGACTAACAGTTATATTTTGATCAATTTGACTCACGTTATAGTTTTGCTCTGAAGTTATAATATGAACTATTGCTTAATTGGTAATAATATCATTCATATTTTTATTTAATTAATTGTGGTAACCGCCTGACGTTGCTGTATCATTTCCACGATGTTTTCTGAGGCAAAAATGCAATAAAATATTTAAGATAGTTTTCAAAATTTGTCCAAATCGTTCATTGCTAAATTACTTACACCGACTAGTGTATTTTAAAAATTATTTAATAAAACTGATTTTTTTCTTCGAAAGTAGACATTCATACCTACTCTATGAAAATAATTAGAATGTTCGTTATTGGTAATAGTAAAACACTTACAAGGTATACCTGCCATCATTTCCATTGAAATTTTTATGAAGAAATGTTAATTTGTAAGTCTCGCTCTCACTAGTCAAGGATGAATTCAAATTATGTACCAAAATATTTCTAGTTTAAAGTTCAAATGACGAACCAAAATGTGTTCTCTATCAGTTCAAATGGCCGTAAAAATGAATTAAATTCTCGCTTATTTCCATTATGCTTAAAGTGATAGACACCGTGAACTGAAGACGTTGTGATTCTGCGTATCATTTTCTTGAGAACTTGAGCTCATCAACAAGCCTTTGCAATCAACAATACAGGAAAATATTAAGGGTCATTTATAAATGTTGGTGATCAACCTAGCTGGAAATGATGGAGCATGAATAAAAGTAGGAACTTATAACATATAAATAATACATGGTACATTTAATAATGTTGTGACCCAAATGTCATCATCAGGTAACTACTGGTTTTCTAATATATTGTTACCAGAAAGTCATTCCGGGCTCATTGTGACTCAATTTGTTGATAAATGCACTGCATTCACCTGACGTCATTTAGTTAGTCAAATTTCAATCATGAATTGTTCCAAAAAATCTAGAGAGCATCTCACATTTTGAACATAGGCTTCGCTTGGGAATTACATTATGTGATAATTCTGAACATTTTTAGTTTGCTCTTTGGGAACGTTATTTTAGTGCTGTGTTATCGTCGCGGAAGTTGAGCATTCAAAATTATTTAGAAAAGAAACTTTTTCGTTTCTCAAGCGAACCGCTCAAGTGGACAGGTGTAACGCAGCCGTCCGTAGAAAGATTAATATTTTACTAGTCGTCATTAATAGGATATCATAGACGTACACATTGAATTTTAATATAGATAGACGTAAATATTTTCAGGTGACGCGCTTAGGCGACAAAACAAATATCTAGCTATATTAATGCGTCTAATATGATCAGCCTTGCAAGGCATCGCAGCGAAAATATTTTCACATTTTAGTTATATAAAACAAATATCTAGCTATATTAATGCGTCTAATATAATCAGCCTTGCAAGGCATCGCAGCGAAAATATTTTCATATTTTAGTTATATATTATAATTAATTATATATTATATTATATTGTGTTATATTTTATAGATAATCTCATATTTTCGTGGGAATAAAAATTAATTCTAATTAATTTTTTCACTTATTGTTGCAACACTTATCGGTTCAGGTAAATGATTTATTTTACTCCAATATTAGCAGGATGCGCACGTGCCAATATTATAAATGAAAGACTCGAACCGTGAATGCCGTAGCGGCGACAAGTAAGAGGAGCAGCTTAGGGCATTTTTGTCTGCTTCTGCGATGGTATATAAGAAAGAAGGAACATATAAGAATAAACTTCTTGATTCTGACAAAATTTAAAAATTTAAAACCTATCTTTCTGCGAAAGTTTTTCACTTAATACGCCAATTCTAAAAAGACGAACAGAAATATAAAACTTAAAAAAAAATTCCGTGGTTTCATATAAAATGCAATTTTTCATTTATATGTATAATTAGCTGAAATGATATTGTCACGCTAACAACTTGCAACGACAGAAGAACGATTCAAAAATATAAATAAATCTAAGACTCCACATTCAGTTTCGCGGCTTTTTAAACTTAGTCCGGGATTCTTCAAACTATTTTTGCAGTAATAAAGAAATTGTCAATGATAATGAAATCTTCAGCTCAGGGCGGTTCCAGGCTCACTCATCAGCATCATTTTTCCCTAGAGTTTGTTCCTTGCAAGGCAGGTTTCACTTGCAAGCTGGTGGGAGTGCGCAGGTCGCGAGTATTTATTTTACTGTAGATTGGAAGTCTCGACCCACTTGTCGAGACTTGTGAAGGTGAAGTTTTTTCTTCACACTCTTTTCCGGAATTTTCTTGATGTTTGCGTCGAAATTCGGTGCAGGCTTCATAACTTTCTTTTCATTATCTGGGAGTAAATCTAGTGAAAAGATACTTGGGACAGAGGTTTCCTTATCATCGTCATCTTCCTTGACATCAATTGGTTACTCTTTCGTTGAGGATTCGTGATTTTCGGAATATTCAGATGCATAACTATAGCTCATCGGCTAAAATTTCATTTCAGATTTGTCAATGGTGATATCTGAGTCATTCGTTGACTTTGCACGTCTCTTTAATCCGATAATGGCATCGTTGGGTGTGATGACCATATCGCCTTCAGGACAAAACACAACCATCCGTTCTCTGCAGCGCTCTCCACTCATCACAGCGACGGCTAACAGAAGCCTATGGCGCTGCAGTAGAGCCAAGAAGACGTCTCGAG